AATCCCTCACGCTCACTTCCACTCTTCATTAAATTAAGTCCTTTTCTGATGCATACTGACCTTGTTACAACCTCTTTAATGTCTGTGATTTCCCGTCTGAACGAGACTTCGGTACAGGTTCCGACTTCTTGAGATAATCCCACATAAACAGCTTCTGACAAACGAGGGATTCTATCCATTTTGTTATAATGAAATATATAAATTTGACAACTATATTATATGGTGTTACTATTTCTCAGTTCGTCTTAGCTGGAATTCCTATCATCCAATAATTTCCATCTAAAGTGCACTTTAAAAATGGGAGGAAATCGCCTGTTACTGTAACGAAAAAAATGCTACTTATGTAATTGTATTAAATATAAAAAAATGTTTTAGATAAGAAAAAATAATATATCAGATGAATTCTGCAAAGTCACGCGAAAATATCCGAAATAAAGAGACTCTTCAGAGAGCTTTACACTATATTTAGCGCCAAAAGATATTTTAGTAAATACAAGTGTCTGAACAGTGCATACACTAGATTATCTTGTTTTGTAATGTCAATGTATGTAAGATGTTTAGATAAATCATTTATCAATAGTTTCCCGATATATAATATTAAAAAAAACTTTACAAAAACTTTAAAAAACCGGGGGGGGGGGGGGGGGGGGGCAAAGCATCTAAATAATTAGTATTCTACCTATAATTTAAACCCAGTAAATTTTAAATTCCCTTCCTCAAACCTGCTGACATTAATTGCTTGGCACACATCTCACTGGGGAAGAATCACAGATTAACGTTAATTCGGCTTTTATTGAGTTCTAACTTTTTGACTTTTTTTTTAAAAAAGTAAATTCACAAATTACATAACTCGCAATTCATCTCAAATTGTATGCTCTTTCAGCTCACATGTTGAATAAGATGTTTTTGTGAAAAACCCGGCGGCAACAAAGTTCAAAAAAGCAAACAGACAAAAAGACAAACAGACAAACAGACAGGATAACAGCAATATTCACATTGAATCTATTGATCCGGAGGCATACAACACCCTCATGCAAAATTTATCTTTAAAAATCCCCAGATCAATATCTAGAACATAGTTACATTTCATTATTTATTCTGATATTATTGAAACCACGGTGATTGCGTTTAGAGTGTAACGCTTAAAATTGATGGAAAAAGCATTAAACACAAAATATTTATAATTTTAGTAATAATTGCCATTTTGTTTTTAGGACCTATAAAATTATTACCTCTATTTGAAAACAATCTTTACCACTCATGCATATAATCAGATTTGTCACGTAAGAAACATCACAAAAAAATAATCATGTATCACACAACTGACGTAACTAATTGTTACGTTGGCAACGTATGTTATACGATATAGCATAAATTCTTTATCCAATCAAATGACGTGTTAGAATTAAACTTAGATTGTTTATGTATCACATAGTTAAATGGAACGATGTAAAAAGTAAAGAAAACAAAAAGAGGTTAAATTCATAAACCCAGGAAATAAAACAAATCGTGAAGAGAGCAAACATGAACCCTCCAAAACTTCACAGGTAGGATCGGGGGGCAAGGACCAGTAAGCATCCCCTTTCGACCGGTCCTAGCTGTATATATGTGGCACATTTAAGGTGTGCGATGGAAATATCAGTGAATTTTTTTTCAGATTTAAAACCATTCCTTAAAAGCATTTGTGTTTTTTAGTTTACTAATATTGGACAAATGTAATATTGTTTAAATCTTCATGTTGAGATTGTTGTAAAGGAGAAACGTCAAGAGCACTGTGCAACAATATACTGTAAAATCACATATTTTGGAAGGGTCAAATTATCGTGGTTGGCGGAAAATATATTGGTTCATGGCGATTTTATTTCGTGGTTGAAGAATTATTCAGTAATAATATATGGAAAATAAAATGCATTTTGTGGTAGACATAAATTCGGAGGTTTCTTCATACCTTGATTTCCACAAATATTACACCCCCACGAACATTAGTGATTTCACAGTATTCAAGACGTGGCGTGGTGTAAATCACATGTGGATATATAGAAACTCCAAGGAACTCTTGGACAATTTAAAATCACAATATTTTACCAAATCAACATCTTATTTACGACTTTTCAACTTTATACACAACAATTTCCCATGATAAATTAAAGTCCAGGCTTTTTTATATCATTGACAGCTGCTTGTGTCAATAAAAATGGAACTTGTAAATTTACTGACCTTTTCATTGGTTATTTGCAAAATTATTTTGTTAAAAACACATTCCGATTGCACACACAAGGACTCTGAAGTTGACATCAAAAAGATGCTTGAGTTCTTGATTGGCAATATCTACGTAGTTTTTGAAGACCAGGTCTTTAAACAATCTATTGGAATTCCCTTGGGTACCAATTGCGCCCCGTTAGAAGCAGACCTTTTTTGTATTCATTTGAAGCAGAATTTGTCCAAAATGTTCTACATGAAACAAAGAAAGCACTAGTACTTCATGTGGACTTCAGTTCGACATTTAGATACCGGTATATCGACGGCGTATTGTCAAATAAATAAACAATGGTAATTTCCATTCTTATGTCGATATGGTGAGCTTGAGATAAAGGATAACATAGAGTCTGTTTCATATTTATATATTCCACTTTTAACTTTCATTTGTATAACTTTTATTAACTTTAAAAGACGTTAAGGCCGGAATTAAAAATATCTTTTCCCCTTTTCCCTAACCCGACCCTAAATTCTCAAGTTGGATCTGTAGGTAGGTAAAGATTTTTATTTTCTGACAGCATCTTTCAAAATACATTCTTAAATTTAATGGAAAATTACATTTATAAATAAGAAAAGTACAAAGAAAGTGATTTGTGAACAAAATGCTATCATACATATGACGTTTAAAAGCAAAATTCATGATTAATTAATTCAAACTGTAATTAAGATGAACTTATGAAATATCTCACGCCAGAGTACATTTATAGAAATAGAATAAAAAGAGAAGATTCTCAAATACGCAAAGACTGGACATCCGAGTATATTTTTTCGAACCTACAATTAGCCTACAATGTACTTTTTTGAGGGCCATGAGATTTGCAGTGGTTCTAGAACATTTTGCCTTGGTGTTAAGACATAAGTGGCTAATACCAATGAGGAACGTTGAAAACTGTCCTTCAAAAGGGACCATAAAAACATATGTCCAGTGTCGCAGATTACGTTGGCTCAAAAAAAGACCCCCACTGCTTTATGGCAAAAAGTGTATAGTACGTCTAAATTTGGAGCAATGGGGGAAATCTTCAAATGTCGTCTCAACAAATCTCGAAGGGATTAAAAGCATAGAAACAACCAATCTTCAAGGGACTAATTAAAGAAAATTACACTGGATGTCTTGGGATGCTAAATTATGATTTCAAAACTAATTTGGAAAGAGTATTTAAACAATATTTAAATGAACCAAACCGAATCTACAAATAATAAAATGCTATATAAAACAATGTCATAGTCACAAAGTTTAACCCGTAAATAAAGGCATGAAAAAGTACAACTGAATAATATTTATTAGGATGAATCTGCAGACATATTTACAACAGTGCCTATGATTCCATAATGGCATATAGTAAATAGAGGAACATAGATGAAAGGTTTATTAGATCAAAACTCAAATTAAATAAAATGCAGTGAAATTGAATGTAATGTTCACTACATGGGCTCCTCATCTGCTCATGAGGCAGACCTTTCCAGGAATTACGTACCTGAAATTCAACAGATGTGTTTGTTCGTTTACCGTCCCTTTCGAAAATCTACTTGTATTTACTCACATGGAGAAACCAAGACACCTCCCAAACACTCTTAATTAGTCATGGTAAATTTTATTATCAAATTGTTTCAAGAGTAAAGAAGTCTAGTTAGCTAAAGGCATAAAATTGAGACGTTTTATGCAGTTGTTTTATGAGGAACTACTTCTCTATAATCACATCTGGGCGCTATTTTGTTTCCATCAAATGCTTGAAAATCACAGTAGAACAATGTTGGCCGTTCTGATAAAAACTGATTTTGATGAAATTGTATTTTATAGAACTTGGTTGACAATAAAAAAAAAATTGAATCATCTTATTTAAAAAAATCTTTTCAGTCGGTGCGATTTAATTGGGTCTGTCGCGTTAGGGGAAACAAAGTTATTTTTTATTTTGGCCTAATGGTAATCTTACACCAAGCTTTATGATAAACGTGATGACTTTAACTTTGAAATCAATCGTCAACTTCCCTTTACAAATGTAGCAATATATATATATATATATATATATATATATATATATATATATATATATATATATATATATATATATATATATATATATATATATATATATATATATATATATATATGTATCTCCATCGCCTGCATACCGAGTTTATATAATCTCAGTGAATTCGATACGTAAGAGCATGCTCTACGTATGAACAATTTCTAAAACGAGGAAAATTATTGACAAACAAATTGATGAAACGAGAATATCAGCAATCTTCTATAAAGTCATTATTTTTTAAAAATTTATAATCGATACAATGACCTTGTCATCAAATACAATTTATCATTATTTAGGTCAAATGCTGTCTGACATTTTCATACCAATTGTTAGATCATTATCAACGGATTATCCCCTTATTTCCCGACAAAGAGCACACGGCGGATGTGATCAGCTGGAAGAGGATGCTCACTCCTCCTTGGCACCTGATGTTTTTGATGTTTCGGAGGTCCCTGTTTGCTCTGGTCTTATTTTGTATTGTTTTATGGACTTTTGATCTTGAATACTGTTCGTTATCTCCATATATTTCATCTAAACTGTGATACTGTATTACTGAAATCAAGACCTCTGCTTATCAATCTTTTTGTCATTTCTTCTCCAAGATAAAATACTCAATCTGTCCAGGATTTCACAACATATATCATGTGTGAAAATCTAGAAAGAAGACTGAAAGAGAGCAATTTATTTTATACTTTTATTCACTTGTTTGTTCAACAAAAATAGTCTTTGGTATATCAAAAGAACACTTTATAAAATAATTTCCTATGCATAACTTCTGTGAAAGTAATTCCTTTCAAGTACGAAAAATACGAGTACATGAACATATCTAATCTGTGCTTGATGTAGTATCATACAAAGTTTCTATATATGACACAGTAAAACTTGTAAAACTTTAATAAAATATACATATATTTTTCGTCATGATCATTGAAAAATATGTTTGCTAAAACATAAGTTTTTTTTATTCCCTGTGTGTAACATTCTTAACCCTTTAATCAGTATAACTCCCATTTTACCCCGCCCCAAATTATTTTTCTGACATATACATGATATACTTATAGAAGAAAACAAAGATCATTCCATTTGTCAGAATATGGAAAGTAAGTTTATTATATTTTTCCTCTTCCAAAATAAGTTAAAGGAGCCCTTCCCTTTTTTGGCTTGCTTGGGAATTTCTCTAAGGCTGTACAACATGTACTCCTCAACTCAAATTTTTCTGTCAGGTCAGAATAAGCCAATGCTTAGAATTAAAACAAACGTTATATATATTCATTTACATATAACAGTTTAGAGAACTTTCTTGCTCTTTCTAAATACTTCTTTGTTTAAATATATATATATACGTAATAATTTCATATGCAGTCAGAATTAGCTTGTTTCTATAAAACGAGACTTCGTGTAACATTTATCTGTATCATTCCATTTTCTTCTTCCCTGCTAGTTCCGCCATTTCTCGAGTCTCGTTGGTAAACTTAGCACAATACCGCTAAAATGATTGTGTACCTTTTCCTTTTGTACATGGTTTTGCAACGAAATCCAAAAATCTTGAGTTATGGCTGGATAAGGTTTTTTATACACGCTAAATTATCTAAGACTTAAGATTTTCTGTTTTTCACGATCGGATCACTAATCTCGAATTTCAGTTTAGTTTTCTCTGATCCGACCATGAGTTCCTCTTTCTCCGGGAGGTCATTTTTCTCTTCATCGTCTGTACTCCAGTCCGTTCTGTTTCTAGAAATCCATATAACAACCCCATAAAACAAAACTACTATACATTTAGCGATGATTTCCACAGAGTACTTTTTAAAGCGGAAGTCCTCTATGTCGTATAATGCGCATGCGCCCTTTCCATAACAACTCGAGCTCCAGAGTTTGCAGCACGTGTCTATAATTTTACCAGTTATAACCGGTCCGATCATCCAGCCTTAAAATAAATGGTGAACAATTTAAAAATAAAACAAATTAAATATGCTTGTATTCCTTCTTAAAGAGTTTTCGATGAACCATCTCGTTTAATGAATAAAAATTCATGATAAATGAAGCGCACTGTTTTTTTTCCTTTTACTTTTTATAACCTACGATATTTGTTGATTATTTATACTTCAACGTCCTCAAAGATTATCTAAATATGCCTTATTTTAGCCACACAACATTTCCTTTTTGCCGAATTAGTCACGAGGTACAGGTACATACCAAAAGTTGTCTGGAAGAGGGAGGATACGCCAACAGCCACCGATTTATCTTCGTCTGACACGCACCTGTATTCAGTGAAGAACAAAACTTTTATTCTCAAATTTTACAAAAAAGAAAAAAAAACAATGTCATATCTTTATTTTCGAGAGTGAAATTTAAAGACATATATTGGATATTTTCTTATTTTTTAAGCAGACTGACTACATTGTATCACACAAAAGAGGCTAGTAGGTAGATAAGCTAACCTGACACTGAACATAATACTGGGGACGATGCAGATGGAAACGATTAACGAGGACACGGTGTTGACGATCAGGAAAGGCCAGAACATCTCACAATCCGTCTTACACAGCCCGGGGGTGGCCGTCCCTCCCCCCTCGATACACGTGCAGTTGGAGTACGTCTAAAATGATAGTTGATAGAACATTCCCCATTGAAATATTTTTTTTCGATTTTCTTCCGAATAAAATGAGTTTCATAACGAAAAAAACTCAAACATTAATATTTTGCATAAAATTTAATATGATTTTGTGTTGAAATCTTTGTAGATTTTTTTTCTTGAAAAGACCTACAAAACCCTCTGGTCCTTGAATACTCTGTCCACATCCGGCATGACAGGGCGTCAGGTAATTCCTATTATCCGAACCGCAGACGGGAAGGTATTCCGCACTGTCACAGTTACAGGCGTCCAAGCAAGTGGAATTGCTCATTGAATTATCCAGCCTTCAACATAATAATTTCTGTATCAGTTAATCAAACAAAATATAACGTCTTGTAGAATGCGTCCCCGTTTCTAAGTATAGTTCTATGCTGTTATAATCATTTTTAATATGGATTTTTTTTTTATTGAAATGCTTTTCCCACAACTTTTGCTGTAAAGTCAAACACTAGCTTTTTCCAGAAATCGATTTAAAAAAAATAAAGAAATGCCCAATTGATCCCCAACTACCCAGAAGATAATTTTGTTGCCACATGCACAAAAAAACATGCATGCATATAAAATTACAAAGTACCTGGTCAGGTATGTATACAGATCGCGTAATGGTGTATAATTGAATTAATTTGATAATGAGGTATACAAGTACCCAACGATGGTAGGGTTCTGACATCCCAGAACGAATTTAAAGACCGTGGACGATGATGGAGAAGAGATTAATGGCGCCCACCAGCTTGATACAACAGTATGGGTGGAGCATCTTATAGGTGGTAAGGATACCCCCCACTAACGTCCCACAACTCGTGGACACCAGGATCGTCACACCTGGCAGAAAGGGGAGAAAACAGCTCAAGTAGCATTAAGGTCCACAAAATTTTAATTTTTGCGAGATTATACATATATAACAGGCTCATAGGAAACGGGAGACAACCCCAAATATATATATAGCTTGGAAATGTGTGCTGCTCTATAGACGAGCCACATGTACATGTATATGTGTGATGAGATATTTTGCTTCTCAAAAATTATATGGCTTTTCAAATAGTATCCATTCCCTCCTACGGGTCCGTATAATGTAAGATAAAAAAAAATATGTGCATAAAAAAGAAAGACATTGGTGTAAAGTTTTCAACAGATGTTTAGAATGTGTACAAGAACGAGAAAAAAATTACATCTGAATCAACTTTTCTTATTATTTTAAATGTGAATATTTC